CACGTAGCTCTTCAAAAGAAGCAAGAGCTTCACATTTTCTTTAGATACTTCTCGTAGCCTCATGTTTGAGAAATATCGTGTATATAATATGGACCTGGTCCTGCCTCCAGTAAGTTAAGCCACATTTTTCCTATTACGATTATTGAGAGGAGTAGCCAGACTGTCTTCCAGGAAAGACTTGATCAAAAGCCTGCGGAGGTGAGAGAACCTTTTCAAGTCTCTTGGTTTGGTTTGATGCCCCTGCAGATTTGTTAGCCGTTTTCCTCCACTTCCAAGCAGATCTACAAGGGCTGTAGTGATCTAATCAAGTCTGACAACAGTGCTTCACCAAAAAACAGCTCCATCGTGAAAAGCCATATGTTTAAAAATGCATGCCTTGCAGAAGTTCCCAGAGCCCGTCCCTGAATTGCTTTCACTTACTGTGTTTTTCAATGTTTTCTTATAGTAATTCCAGGCCAGACTTATGGTGGAAAGCACATTCAGTTCATCAAGTGCAGTCCCCTGCTATTATTGTCACCCTACTAAGTAGTTCCTTTCATAATACAGAGTCAGTGAATTCAACAAAAAACATGAGAATCCATTGATCCTGACATCTGACCCGGGTCAAAAGATTATACAATAAGGGGACAAGTAGACATATTAAGGACTTTTCCCCATCGATTTAGATCAGAGTCCAGTGACATGGTAAGGGAGACTGATCTCCTAACTGTATCAGCCATCTGGTACTTTTGATAGTGATGCTTACAGATTCCCTGTCTCTCTTGAGACAGAAAAATGTTGTACATGCAAATGACTGCAAGGTCATTTCTATTTCTGGAAGAATTTGTGATGGATGGGAATTACCTGACACCTGATTTGATACTTGTGATTTCTATTTTCAAACTACTTCACACTACTAAATCAGAAGACTTCCTTTCCAAAAACAAACAAAATCCTAACCTTAAGGATAAAAACCACCAAACCATCTAGCAAAGTAACAGTATGGAAACATGGAAACATTAAAAAGAAATGCTTCTTGTCATGCTTTTAGTTCTGTGAGCTCCTGACAAATAAAATACATGTTTATTTCCCAAGTATGATCTCATAGATTTCATGAGGCAGTCTGTAAACTTTTTTCAAATTAGTAGCTATTTTGTCAACTATTTCACCTTGATCCCAATTCTACAACTTGTAACACATGACTATACTAAGCTTGTTAACACAAGGATAAATAACTAGCAGTTTTCCTCATCTGTTAAAAAAAAAAGGTTTAGGAAGCTAGGAAAGCAGACATATATATGTTAAATAATTATCTAGTAATGGAAACTGAATGCAGATATTCACTTACAAATCCATGAATTAAAGACTCTTCTAAAAGTGGTGCTCTTTCTTAAATTTGATTTATTCTGACCAAATTCAAAGYAGTCTCCCCCTGGAGGTAAGGATATGTCTTTCCCTAATTTGGCTAATGTAAATTCATGGTAACTTCCTTGCAGAATATGAAGAGGTGATGCATATTGGGTTACAACCACCAAATAGCWGAGGCTTCTCCAGACAAAAGTTCCAGTAAGATCAGATCTAGTCAGATCCTTTCTTAATAAAGACTTAGTGTGCTTCTTGGAAAGGGAAGGGGAAGAGGAAGGGGAGCCAGACAATTTTCTGTAGTCTAGATCAACAGATGAAATTTTGGCAAGGCCACATAGATTCTCAGGCTGACTTTTATCTCTTTATGTTTTTTTGTACCATCTCTCACCTTGGGAAGGTGAGCACCAGTCTGGATAGAAGCAGAAATCCAAACAGAACAGAGGCGACAAAATGAATTGTCTCAATGTCCTTGGAGGAAAGAGGGACAGGATGGCTTTTTAGAGAGAGTATAACTAATAACTAACACACTGAAGTGTTATTGAAATATTGAAAATTGAAGTATTTCATAGGTAATTRTCTATATATCTAATAGTTTTTCAAGTGTTTTTTTTTTCTATTAAGTAAAATCATTTGATTACTCACCTATTTTTGGAAGGTCCAAGGGCCAGAGATCACTTTCCCTAGAAACATCACTCCCAACTTTGCCCTTTTTCAAATGACTTATGTTTAATTTACAGAATATTCTCAGACAGGCTGTATGTCCAGTGTCTAATGCAAGTGTCTAATACTGTCACAGATAGGGCAGCCTCTAGCTGTTTATCTAGTGCGATATTAATAATAATAATAACTGCAACAAAGTATATGATTGATGTTCCTACAATGAGTTGCTGATAGGGAATCTCTTAGACGTGGGAGCAGGTTGTTTCTTCCACCTGCATTGCACCCAGCTGCACCCTCTCTTTTCTAGCTGTGGGAAATTTCAGATTAACATTTTTAAATGCCAGTTCAAACAACGAATCAGCTCTATGAAATGACTTGTTCTTGCAGAAAAAAAAAATTGTTTTAAGATCTAAAAGAAATTGCAGTTGTAGTCAGTGTGCCTGCAATGGACAATTCTTCCGAGAATCCTGAGACATCGTGAACTCCTGTTGTTTGTTTGTTTGTTTGTCTCTTTGTTTTTGTGAGAAAACTAAATTGACACTGGTTATGTTGTACTGAATAGTAACAACTTGGTTTATATTTTTATCAGTGATCTTAACATCAACACTTATATTTTGGGATGTATATTTCCTTCTCCAYCTACCTGTGTATTTTAGACAGCCACTAATGACAATATCAATTTTTTAAGGACAACYAGTAACTTTGGGGCTGTTAAAACAAATAATAGCAAGCTGTGAAATTGAATTATATATCGGRAGTATGGTTATACAGAAGATTTCCTTCTTTTATTTTTATTATAAAATAAATAGCTCAGTGCTTTAGGGTGATATTTTCCTTCATTTGCCAAAATATCTCTGGAAACTCACAGAAATACTTTGGAGACAAAAGGATAAAATAGAGACCAGAAGAGGACTCAAAGTATGTGGCAGAAAGCAAAATTAAGTAGAAAACAGGTTCTTTTTGTGTAATTATATTTTTTCCCATGGACATAMCATACACTTGTGGAAGTAGAATAGTTTTAGCTGAAGTTTAGTMCCATGTTAAAGAACCAGAGAAAGGATCCTTAACATAAGACTAACATAGATCTTAACATAGATACTACAGCTGGTGAAACAATTGATCTGAAATTTGGGGGAAAAAGAAAAAAAAAAGAAAAAGAAAAAAAAAAGACAGTTCTATCTCTTTGCTAGCATTGATTAATCCTATCACAAAAGCAATAACACAATAATAAAAATAATTACTAGAAGGTTCGATCAACTGAAAAAAAAAAGGTAAAAAACTTGAACTAGAATCACTTGTTTTCTTTTATATAAGAGTATATAAGAGTTTATGTGTTTCCAAACCAATTTATATAGTGAGTAACAGAGGGATTCAAAAGTATTTAATTTATTTAAATATTCTGTATAGTCGTATACGGAAAGAGAGGAGGGTTCAGACCGTTAATTCTTCGGCTGCAYCTTCACGGGAGCTGCAGATTAGGGAGATGACCCGACAGATCTCTTAGACCACTTAACACTTCTCGTATCTGTTTCGTTGTTATGTGTATTTTTTTCCAGAGCAGAGGTACCTGAGAGACTCCTTCCCTCCCTGTGCCTAATTCAGGATGGAAAAATTGAATTGAGGAAAAAAAAAAAAAAAAAAAAGAGAGAGAGAGAGAGGAGAAGATCTCCACAACCCCTTGCAGTGCACCGGGTCGTATTCCCGTTAACAACAATTTCCAGGCTGGAAAATAAATCAGGAACAATAAGTCATGGAGCCCCCCTTTACGCCAGGCTCCCCCCGCACTGCTGGCAGTTGTGGGAGTCATTGGCGCAGAGGTTTAGTCCATGCATCTATTTATTTATCATGGAAATAAAAATGGAGCAGAAGTGGGAAAAGAAAGGGGGGAAATGGCTTATTTAACCAAAATGCCTTCCTTCTCCACTTTGGAAACTCTGCGATTTTCCCGTTTTCCTGAAGAACTTGTCACATATCTACTCGTCTGGTTTTCCCTCACCGGGGATTTTCCTTCCAGCACGTGGTATTTCGAGCCTGTTTTTTTCATAACTGTATTCTCGCCTTTCCAGTTCTTCTTGCCAATTTTCTTAGCACTCATTAGAGGATTTTCCCTTTTCTTTTTTTTTCTTTTTTTTTTTCTT